TTCCAAGAGCTTACACACCTACCACTCTTATCACCACTCAAAAGAAAGAGCTCCACATCTTCTCAGATGCCTCGGTGAAGGCTATCGCCGCTGTAGCTTACCTCAAGGTGATCAACAATGATGGAGAGTGTCACGTGGGATTTGTTTTGGGAAAGGCAAAACTGGTGCCTTCATCTGCCCACACCATCCCAAGGTTGGAACTGGGAGCAGCTGTGTTAGCAGTAGAAATGGCAGAGTTGATCGAGAGTGAGTTGGACATCAGTATAGACACATTGCGGTTTTACACAGACAGCAAGGTCGTCTTGGGGTACATATACAATCAGACCAGGCGGTTTTATGTGTACGTTTCCAACAGAGTCCAGCGAATCAGGAAGTCCACCAAACCTGAGCAGTGGAACTACGTCTGCACCACACAGAATCCGGCAGATCATGCTACACGTTCTGTACCTGCGGCAGAATTAGCTAGCACAACCTGGCTCACAGGGCCTCCGTTTTTGTCCCTCCCTGAAGGAGTAGCCAACTTCAGGAGAGGAGCCATATGGACTCATTGATCCGGATGCAGACGTTGAAGTGCGCTCTAATGTCACCACTCTCTCTACTCCATCTAGTCTGGGATCTCATCGCTTTGAACGGTTTTCCTCTTGGAAGTCTCTGGTGCGAGGCATAGCATTTCTGACACACATCATTCAGTCGCAAAGAAGTGCTGTAAAAACCAAGGATGACACCTGTAGTGGCTGGCATCAATGCAAAAAACCTCACACGGCAGAAGAGCTGTCCAAGGCAGGAACTCTTATTGTCAGGTGTGTGCAAAGAGAAACTTACAGCAAAGAGTTCGCCTGCTTGATTGCTGGGAAAGACATCTCAAAAGATAGTTCATTGAGAAAGCTGAACCCCTATGTGGACGAAGAGGGTCTCCTGAGAATAGGAGGCAGGCTCAACCATGCGGTACTAGACACTAAAGAAAAGTTCCCTCTTATCATTCCAGGCCGTAGCCACATTGCAACATTGCTCGTGCGTCATTACCATGACAAGGTTAAGCACCAAGGTCGTGTTCTTACAGAAGGCTCTGTCCGCACAGCTGGATTCTGGATCATTGGAGCTAAGAAATGTATCAGCAGCATCCTTCACAAATGCGTTACATGTAACAAGCTTCGTGGGAAAAGCGCTGAACAGAAGATGGCAGATCTACCCTCAGATCGTCTGAGTACAGAGCCACCCTTCACCTACGTGGGACTTGACGTTTTCGGCCCATGGGTTGTCACCACAAGACGAACCCGCGGTGGACAGGCTAACAGCAAAAGGTGGGCTGTACTTTTCACCTGCATGAGCACACGGGCTGTGCACATAGAGCTGATAGAGGCGATGGACACGTCAAGCTTCATCAATGCTTTGCGCCGATTCTTTGCTCTGCGGGGACCTGCTAAGCAAATCCGTTCAGACTGTGGAACCAACTTTAGAGGTGCCTGCAAGGAGCTGCATATACTCCTTACTGATCCCAAAGAGCCCAATGTGAGGAGGTACTTGGGTGAAGAGGGTTGCTCTTGGGTATTTAACCCCCCGCATTCCTCCCACATGGGTGGATCTTGGGAGCGAATGATTGGTTTCGCCAGACGGATACTCAACTCCATGCTTATGCAAACCAATCCTTCATGCCTCACTCATGAGGTGTTGTCTACTTTAATGGCAGAGATCACGGCAATTATTAATGCTAGGCCACTCGCACCTATTTCTTCAGACCCGGAGTCACCCTTTCTCCTTACCCCTGCTACACTTCTGACTCAGAAGATGTCTACTTACCCTCCTCCTCCGGGAACCTTTGACAGCACAGACCTTCACCGACAGCAGTGCAGACGGGTGCAGCATCTGGCCAACACGTTTTGGAGCAGATGGAGACGTGAGTACCTTCCTACGCTGCAAAGCCGAAGCAAGTGGCAGGACGTACGGCCTAACATTGAGAAAGGTGACCTGGTTCTGCTTAAAGATAACCAGGTGAAGCGGAATGAATGGCCCTTAGCTCTGGTTACAAAGACATTCCCTGATGAAGATGGGAAGGTCAGGAAGATCGAACTTAAAGTCACAAGATCTGGGTCAGCAAGGACCTTCTTGAGACCTGTTTCTGAGACGATCCTTCTCAAGAGTGCTGAGGAAACAAACTGATTTAGTTCCCCTTTTTTATTCAGACACAAGGTTATTCAGATAGTGGTATTTAATTAATACCAGGCAGGGAGTGTTATGTTCTGTAAGACCTTTGCATTTAGTTTGCTACTTTCTCCCCCTAGTGGTCATCTGGGTGTAATTCATTGTCTTCATATATAATTCTTACATTGCTTTCATTGGTTGATTTTATCACGATGCAGTCTGATCAGGAAACATTAGTAGTTAAATTCCATGCGGTCAGCTCCAGTCACCTTATCCTGTTCCCACTCTGTTTGTGCCTTGAGAAAGCATCAAGCTTGTAAGTTGTATTTGAATTTATAGTTAATTACATTGATTCATAAGTGTCATGTAAGATGTTCTGTGATGTTACTTGAATATTTATTTGTTAACATGTGAAACTGCTATTGTATAGCCTTTCAGCTAAGAGGTAGCCAATAGTTTGTTAGTTTAGATGCACACATACTATATTTACAAGTTATTTACATTTATAAGCATACCAGCTGAATGTAATATATATGTTACAACTTTGTAGCTTAAAGGTATATTATTTTATGTCTGTTAATGTATGATGTGTTTGAATAGCATTCAGTGATTGGTGCTATCTTTCTGTATCATTTCAGTTTTACAAAAATTCCTTCATGAGAATTACGACAACAGTAAAGAGCCTTGAACTTTACTCCAGCCTCTGACTTTCTCTTGAAGCCTGTTAGCTATCTGTCGATTTGTGTACAGTCACACACACTGAGGACAGAATAGGTTCATTTTGGGCTGGAGTTCTCCTTTAAGCAATCATGATTTATTTATTTAACATGGATGTGTGCATTAAAGGTACAATATGTAACAATTTTGTAATAAAATATCCAAAAATCACTTGCACAGTGTGATATATTTCCTGCAGTTGTGTACTTACAATATCCCAAAAGTTCCCAAAGACTTTTAATTTCAGAGAAATTCCCATTTTAAATAATTGGACGTCCCGGAATCCCTGTTCACTTGTCGCCTGTCACTAATGTAATATCCGCGTTATCCCTGGTTTCCGCTCGTTCTGCCATAGTAACCATGGCGACAGTAGTGCGTAATGTCTAGCTGCACGCTGTTGTTTCATTCAAACGTTATGGACTGTGGCAAGCAGACTTTGGGAAAAAATAACTAAAACGAGGATCAATATCAGCGTGGCGTCTTCGAAATGCAGAGAGCTCCACATCCTTGACAAACTTCGACTTGACAGAGCTCTTACATGTAAGTTACTTTATTAGACAGGTGAGCAAATGTACATAAAACGAATCAATGTTATATAGCTCAACATGATGAAATGTTAGAATATGATCTGTATGTTATTCTAATGTTGATAAGAATCGTGTGAGAGAATCGTGCCAAAACTGTAAGCGCAGCTAAAAGAAAGACGCAACTGTACAAATAATGTTATTACGGGAACTTTTTTGCCTCATGTACACAACAAGTCATTTAGACATTTGCAACTTTTTTTTTTTACACAAAGTTTCATTTTACGCGATCAACCTGTTTTGCAGTTCCTGACTGTTGTTTTCGCTTGCAAATTGCTGTTCACAGGCTTGCAGTGCTTTTGGCTGCATTTGTGCGAAAAAAACGTGCCAAAAGTGTAAGCGTGGAAAAAAGCATGTGATTCTTTATGGCATCATATTACCTTCATAGTTATACATAGAATGTGGGCAGTAATGAAAAGGTATTAACGTATGCCGTGTGGTTGATGTCCAGTGTCGCTAGCTGAGCAGAAATACATAATTATGTTTTGCTTGGTCCCCTCAAAGTAGCGTTTGGATTTTCTCCTCAGCGTAAAGGTTGAGGGGTCCATCTATCACTGTTTTCCATGTTCATAGAGTTAGTTTCTGGATTAAATGTATTGGCTATAATTTGAGTGTTTACAAAGCCTGAATGGAGGGTGCTGGTGTTTTGCCTGCGTTTGGCCAATCAGCGCACACTAACGTCACTGATAGTTCCTATAGTGCTGGTTTAGACCCTACTCTAAAGTTGGAGCTAAATTAGTTTCTCCAAAAAGAATTCCTAGAACTAAAATCGTTCCTAGTTCCTGCGGTGCGAACGCGCGGAAACCGGGAACTTTCGCCAATAGTTCTAGGAACTATGAATAGGTTCCTCAGGTGCGAAAGCTCCTTAAGTTTCTAGAACTACCCAGTGCGAAAGCCCAAGTTCAAAACATGCAAAAGATTTAGTTTTTGTACTCTGAACCGAAAAGAAAAACATTCTGGAATCTGTCCCAAAACCACATTCACAGGTGACAAAAACAGATTTTTGGTAATGCACTTTAGTTTAAACAGCCAGATTGAATTTCAGCTCATTTTTCATTATTTAAGATGTAATGCATATGCAACGTTAAACAATTTGTGAATACAATCAGTGCTAAAGATGGGAGTTGAAAAGCAAATAAAAATGATTGATTGGATGAATTTCTAGGTTAGACGCACTTCAGAGCATTCTCAATTCATGATGTCTGCCCAATGATCCTTAAAGCACATTGGCTTACGATACACATCAATCTTTGAAAATGCATGCAATTTCTTCTTTTGTGAAATGAACCAACAAATTCAAAAGAAGTGTATTTCCACATCTGCACATCAACAATTTTAGAACGTGGGAAACTATTTTGAAACATTTACAACACTTGAAATTGCAACACTTGACTTCGTGACATCATTAAGCCAGGACATGCACGTATGTACTTACTAACACACAACACGCAGACGCCAGATGTACTGGACATGTGTCATACACCCATATCAGATTAAGTATGACACATATCCACCATTTGAAATAAACACACATATAAACACACACAGCTCTCCTTCTACCTGTGAGCTCTCCCCGCTGCTCTTCTACGGTGAATTAGACTCTCTGCCCTACAAATTAGGGACCGCCTCCTGAGAGTCAAATGTCATGTGTGTACCGATCAGATCCCAGGATTAGGTGGAGATGGAAGGGATGGAGAAGGAGAAGGAAGGAGAAAGAGGAGGAGGAATATGGTTCATTTGTTAGTAAATAGAGTGTCTGATTGAATTACTTCAATACATCTGACAGCCGTTCTCTCCTTCAGATGTAGCATGCATGGATGATAGTTTTGAATTGGAACTGTCAAATCTTGCTTTCATCTGTGAATCTCTCATAGACATAACTTACAGTGAAAGAGAGAAAAGTCATAGGAGGTATTAGGAGGAGGTTCAAAAGAAAGAAAAGGTGAATACAGAACAGAGGAGTACCGTATTTTAAAAGATATATCTACATTATATTGGGACGTCAATTTACTGTTTTCATTCAGTAGAATTAATTTCAATAACACAAATTATAAAAGCATAACTCATACGTCTCCAGCAGACCTCAGTTCCACCACTGCCTGTAATTTTCAAGTAACCATGAACACCTTGATTAGCTGCTTCAGGTGTGTTTGATTCCGTGGTGTAAAATATTTGAATAAATGTAATTAGTTACTGTCCTTAAGTACCTTTTTGGCTACTTTGTAGTTTCCGGAGTTTTAAAGATATTAGCGACTTTTACTCTACTACATTTTTGGACTACATTTTTGAATAAGTATACTCTTTTCTACATTACATTTGTGATGAGTAATGTACTTGTTACATTTTGCATGGCACCTAACTTTTTCTACAGCAGTTTATTTCTGCTACAAAATCTTGTACGTTTTGCCCTGACTCACCCAAACTTGTCAACAAGGCTACTTTACGTGAATGCGAGTGCATTAGCAGGTTGTTGTGAATCGCAGGTGTTTCATATATGAGATAAGGACATGCCTGCAGCTGCTGATGAGGCCCAAACCAGCACGTCCATTGCAAGTAGGCTTTGACCATTTAATTTAACTTTTCATTATTTTATTGATCCGTTATTCTGAAAAGACGGTTATATTTTGATTTTGCAAAAATAAACATGTGATTGCTCTCCTCACAAATCAACTGTTTCTTGTTTTTCACTGGTATGTCACTGTGCATCTTTGAGCCTACATTCAGCAATGTAAAATACTTAAGTAGGCCTACTGTTAAAAAGGCCCGGTTTCACAGACAGTGCTTAGATTAAGCCAGGATTAGGGCTTAGTTCAATTAGGGCATTAAAGCAGCTTTTATAAAACGTGCCTTAGAAAAAAAACATTACTGGTGCGTCTTGAGACAAAACAATGGCACTGACATATTTTAAGATATATCAGTGCAAGTTGCTTTAAGTTAAAAGCTCAAACATGCATTTTAGTCTGAGACTAGCCTAAGCCTTGTCTGAGAAACTGGGGGTAAGGCTTTTACTCAAGTCGTATTGGAATTGGTGACTTGTAACTTGTAATAAAATCATTTTTGCTATAAGGTATCTGTACTTTAACTCAAGTATGGTTTTCAGGTAATCTTTACACCTCTGGTTTGATTGGGGTTGGAGCTGAACTCTCCAGGAGCAGGGTTGGCGACCCCTGGCATCAGGGCAGGACTTAGGGGGTGGGGGCCCCTGGGCTTGAGTTTATGTTTGGGCCCTATATGCTACAAACATCATTATGGAGTAGCACAAATTACACAAAAATGTAAATATGCTTTGCGGTTCCTAGAACAATTAATATGCAACGTGCCTATAGTCAAAGTTTAGTGGTAGGCTAATTTTAAATAGTCATTATAATACAATATAATGCAGGATGTGCTCTCTAGGTTGAGATAAGATCAAAACTCTAATAATAAAGCCAAGAGAAAACAGTATTTTTTTTATTCATTGTCATAGCTATCTGTCAGATTCTTAAATTTAGTCAACAAATTCAATCAGAATGCAAAAACACGGTGGCTTATTATGACCAAATAAAAGGAAGTCGGTATTAATAAAATCCATTTTTGGATTGACACAGGCTGTTTAGACATGGCATGTATGGATTTACACAGCAAATTATAATTGCATAAATTATGTTAAGAGATTAATGTTTTAAATGTAAAAATTTGAATGTAGAAATATGAAATGATTGAGAAAAATTAACTATGAAACCATTTTAACTATCAAACTAACACCGCCAGTAGGTGGCGGCAAGTCTCCATCTTAATGAGGGAGTTGGATCCTTTATTCAACCGATTCGTTCAAAAATCCTAATTCGTTTAACCTAGCAAATGACTGTATGTTTGAATGGGTAGCCTAATTGAATCATTTACTTGTCTGATTCTGTCAAAAATGAAGATTTTTTGAGGAACAAAACACGTGTTACTCGGAGGCGCATCGGTTCAGCTGTTTGTTCTGTTTTCTTTGATTGAACTGATGTCACATTTGCGATTGTGCAGATGTTCGGAAAATCAGCGCTCTTGCTGGTGTGATAACTCACATATCATAGGCTCGTGTTTTAAATACATTAAACGGGAACTCGTTAGGCCTAAATGTTTTTTTTGTTTTTTTATAATTTTGATGACATATTCCTATATTGTGATGGCAGTGGAGAGAGCGCTCAAAATTCTCCAGAGCACATAATTTTGTGAAAAAAATAAATAGAAATTATCATTCTCTTTAAAGCAACGAGACGTGAACATATGAGAATGTATCAAGATTTTTCTAAATGTGCGCTCTTTTGGACTAAAAGCCCAATTGAAGCTGTTTAAAGTAGCCTGGCATAACTATACTGGCTGTGCTATATGTGGGAATTTAGTTAAAAGCCCATGTTAATCTGCCTTTAATGCATAGAATTTGATTAATTTATTTTGTGACAAAGAGCACTCATTTAAATGACTGGGGAGCCTTTAGTTCTGCAGACAACCCTGAAGAAAATAGAGTAACTAGTTCAGTGGGGCAAAACCCACAGCCATGTAAAGTTTAGCTTTAATCCTAATTAAACGCACCTATTCCAGCAAATCCTTCAGGCTTATTTGAAAACTACAGGTATGTGTGTTGAAGCAGGGTTGGAACTAAACTCTGTAGGGCTGTGGCCCTCCAGGAACCGAGTTTGACACCCCTGAACTAGAAGATTTGTTGCCTTTTAGGTTAGAATTGCATCCACCTGTAATCCAGCACTGAATATTTTCCAGACATAACTCTGATAACAAAGTAGAATATACACAAGTCTGCAAATTTACAGTTCTTGCAAAACCTTTATTACGACATGATGCCACAAACTTTGGTAAATTAAGGAACTATATTAATCTTTGAAGCAATCATTTAAACCATCTGCTAACTTATTTAAAAAGTTAAAATGAGTCTCTACTGTTACCTTATAGAACATACAGCTGACTATAGGAAGCCTAAAAGGACAAATTTCTTTATAATTTATTTTTAACTACTGTGTTTTGAAGAAATCTTTTGAGATAAAGACAGTTAGCTGGACTTTTTTAGTTGTATCTCAGGGGAAAGATTTACTTTATTAAAATTATACCTTGGAGATGTAACATGTCAACATTTATTTGTAAAGTATATATATAATATTCCAATGTTTAATGCTAATGGTGCCAAATACACCTAGTCTAAGCCCCAAATATACAATAATCCTAGAACAGCCCCTTTATATAAATAATTTTTATAATGTGTAGTCAGTGCAAGTCTTTGTTTTGATTTTTTTAATCGATTGACAGCCCTAATATTACAGGGAGTCAGAGGGACTTACTGTTTGATGGGCTCTGAAGGTTGCATGACCATGTGTGATTTCCTGTAGCATGAAAGAATGATCACCTGTTCTGTTGCTCTTGTTGTAGCAGCTGTACTGCAATCTTCCTCAGATCCAACACTTCCTTCAAGTCATCCTCCTCCTCTTCAACTAACTGCTCTTTCTCTGAGCTGAAGTAGATGAGAAAAAAAGACAAAAAAGAAAGAGACAAAAGGAGGTTATTGCTGAATTCTTAATCTGTACACAATTTACATCAAACCGTTAAAATCAAATCCTTACACGGAGTTATTCAAAATTCAGATGCTAATATAACATTTCAGTGTCTGTGAAGTTAAAGGAATTCATGAAAGAATAGATTGTTTAGAAATATCATATAATGTTTAACCAAACAGACAACCAATGTGGCTATAAATTAATGCAATAATGTGTTTAATTCATTTCTGGTGGACCATTACCAAATTTACTAATGCACAAAATATTGTGTTTTCGGCTAGAAGTCCTGCAGATGTTAGCATGATACAAGGAGCCATGGTACAGGACCTTAATGAAGCCTTTGAGCAGATGTTAGGGATGTCACGGTGAGGAAATTTTCACACCGGTATATAATATTTTGTTGATCCTGGAACCACTTTCATGTAAAAAATAATTTGTCCTAACCCTATTCTTAGCCTTAAACCTGACCCTACCCATAAGTTAGCCCCAAAATCAGGGGGAAATGATAGTTGAATAAGAGTGATGTTAAAGGACCTAACCCTGGTTGTAAGCCTAAACTTGACAAACTGTAAACTTGTCCCTCAAATCTGATTGGTTGATTGAAATGTTGATCCAGGAACATGATGTACATTCACCATCAATATGTGGGGTACTAAAATCGCTTTTGAATGAATTCGTGATCATGTGTACTCTGTGTATAGGGAGCGGCGGTACTGTCTGCACAATTTACAAGATAAGATATTTGTCAATGACGCTCAGGATCTGTTGCGCACCAAATCCTCTGCCATCATTATGTCACGGTTCGTGGGTTTTGCCTGTTCATTCTGTGTGTCTACTGCGCTGATCTGATTGCCCTTCAGCGTCAGCTGTGCTGACGAGCAATCAGATCAGTCGCAGGTGTGTCTCATTTAGAGTCCTATATGTAGTGCTGTGTTTGTCATGTTCAGTGTCAGATTGTTGTTGCTGGTCCTCTGTTCTGGTCTCTGTTGTGTGCAGTGTTACCACTCCAGTTCTCCTGTTTTCTCATGGATTATCCTGCATCTCTCTGCCAGCCTTGTTGGTTCTGCCCACGGAGGATTTCTCTCTGTTCGCGTCAGTCTCTCCTGATTTCTCCAGGACTGAGTTGAGCCCACTGCAGTCTGCCTGCGCCGCCAAGAGTCTACTGCCGATCATCTTGACTTCCTGCCTTCCTGTTTGCTTGTTCTGTTATTCAGAATAAACCTCACTTTATTTGCAATTGGATCCTGTGTTTTGTGACATAACATAACGATCTGACCACGTTATGGATCCAGCGAATATGGCCGAGTTGCGAGAGATCTTGACACACAACGGCGCGCGCTTTGATCGACAGGATGAACAGATCACGGTGACCGGTCGTGCAGTCCAGGCGTTGGTGGCGCAGATTTCGGAACTGTCCTCCCAGCTGCAACATCTTCGAGCTGAGTCTGCCCACGCCACCACTGCGCCTGAGCCACCACCCACTGTTCCACCCGCTGTTCCACCCACGAGCCGTCCCACCAACAGCCCGGAACCTCGTCTGCCTGCTGCCTATTCGGGTGAGCCACAACTATGTCAGGCGTTTCTGACCAAATGCTCACTGTTTTTTGCCCTACAGCCCTCATCGTTTCCAACCGAGGAGTTCAGAATAGCCTTCGTAATCACACTACTGTCCGGACGAGCGGCGCTATGGGGAACCGCTGTATGGGAACAGGGGCATCAGTGTTTGACGTCATTTGAGACCTTCAGTACGGAACTCAAGAAAGTGTTGGATCGGGCAGTCTCAGGCAAGGAGGCGGCCCGGACCTTGGCAGATCTTCGTCAGGACCACAGGTCGGTGGCAGACTATTCCATAGAGTTCCGGACACTAGCCGCGGAGTGCAAATGGAACAGCGAGGCGCAGTGGGACATGTTTCTGCATGGGTTGGCCGATCGCATCCAGGGTGAGATCTACACTCTGGACCTACCAACATCATTGGATGGCCTGATCGATCTTGCTATTCGAGTGGACACCAGACTGCAGCGTCGAGATCTTCTAATGCAGAGAAGTTTGATTCCAGACATATAGCCCCATCTTGTTACTCCTCCCTGTGATGCTGTCGGCCCATCATTCGATCCTGAACCCATGCAGGTGGGCAGAGCTCGCCTCTCCCGGAAGGAGAGGGAGCGGAGGAGAGCCCAGGGGCTATGTTTATACTGTGGAGCCGGGGGACACTTTGCCTCTAAGTGCCCGGTAAAAGCCAAGACCCGTCAGTAGAGAGGTGGTTACTGACGGGTGGCATTGCTTTTGATGAAGCTTCCCGAGAATCAACGTTCCTCCCGGTCAGACTGCAGTGGGCCACCTCTCATCATCTCTGTGACACTCTGGTGGATTCTGGAGCGGAGGGGAGCTTCATGGACCTTCATGGACTGGCGCAGCGTCTTGAAAACCCCATCATTCCCATCACTCATCCCATCTCGGTAAATGCACTCAGTGGTCAACTTCTGTCATCCGTCACTCATTCTACCGGACCGGTGAGTTTGATCACATCTAGCAATCACGTCGAGGAGATTCACTTTCTCCTCATTGACTCCGCCTTTGCCCCCGTGGTGTTGGGACACCCTTGGCTCACCCTTCATAACCCTCACATAAACTGGCGTCTGAACTCTGTCATGTATTGGAGTGAGAATTGTCATGCGTCCTGTTTGGTGTCTGCTTGTTCTTCTGTGTCTTGTTCTGTGTTGCAAGATGAGCAGGCGGACCTGTCTAACGTGCCCGAGGAGTACCTCGACCTGAAGGAGGTGTTCAGTAAGTCTCTGGCTGCTTCTCTTCCTCTGCATCGTCCCTATGACTGTGCGATAGACTTATTGCCAGGTAGGTCTCCGCCTAAGGGCAGATTATACTCTCTTTCTATTCCCGAGAGGGAGGTGATGGAGAAATATATTTCTGATTCTCTGGTAGCCAAACTCATCCGTCCTTCCTCTTCTCCTGCAGGGGCGGGATTTTTCTTTGTGGGTAAGAAGGACGGTTCTTTGCGCCCTTGTATTGACTACCGAGGGCTGAACGACATCACGATAAAGAATACTTATCCTTTGCCGTTGATGTCTTCAGCCTTCGAGAGACTGCAGGGTGCTTCCTTATTCACAAAGTTGGATCTTCGTAACGCCTATCATTTGGTCTGCATTAGGAAGGGGAATGAGTGGAAAACCGCTTTTAACACCCCTAGGGGGCATTTTGAATACTTGGTTATGCCTTTCGGCCTTTCCAACTCCCCCGCGGTTTTCCAGGCATTCGTCAACGACGTGTTGAGAGACATGGTCGATCAGTTCATATATGTTTACCTGGATGACATATTGATTTTTTCTTCGTCTCTCCAGGAACACGTTCAACACGTCAGACGAGTGCTTCAGAGGCTGTTGGAGAATGGGCTTTATGTCAAGGCGGAGAAATGCGTCTTTAATGCACAGTCTGTTCCTTTTTTAGGATTCATCGTGTCGTCCGAGGGGGTGAGCATGGATCCCGACAAGATTCAGGCAGTGGTGAATTGGCCAACTCCAGACTCCCGCAAGGCCCTGCAGAGGTTTCTGGGCTTTACCAATTTTTACCGACGTTTTATTCGCAACTATAGCCAACTAGCCGCACCTCTGACTGCCTTGACCTCCACCATGACAACGTTCAGGTGGTCTAATGCAGCTGAGACTGCATTTTCCAAACTGAAGGACTGCTTTGTTTCAGCCCCTATTCTCGTTGCCCCTGATTCCTCTCGTCAGTTTGTGGTGGAGGTCGACGCATCAGAGGTGGGGGTAGCGGTTCTCTCCCAGCGCTCCTCCGCGGACGACAAGGTTCATCCGTGTGCTTATTTTTCTCATCGCTTGTCTCCCGCCGAACGCAACTACGACATTGGTAATAGAGAATTGTTGGCAGTCAAGTTGGCCTTGGAGGAGTGGTGTCATTGGTTGGAGGGCTCGGGGGTACCCTTTATCGTTTGGACCGATCATAAGAACCTTGAATACATCAGGTCCGCCAAACGACTTAACTCTAGGCAGGTTCCAGGGCTCACCATAAAAAAAAATCCCCACTGGCCCCCAGGGCCAGTAGATCAGAGTTTTACTGGCCCCTTCTATATTTTTACTGGCCCTGAAAGAAATAGAAGGAAAAGCACTTTTCCATTAAACTGTATTTATTGTATACATTAGGATTAATTTTTCTTGCCCCCTCACAATGACAGTAAACTAATTATTACATTACATGAGTGATGAGTAATATTACAAAGGCCTATTTTCACTTCAAAATGGCGAAATTAGACAAAAGTATATTAGTTTGCCTGATTATTTTTGTCATTCGTTTAACATTTATGACCTAAAAAACTGTCAATGAAGAAAAAATGAAGAACGCGCTGAATCTGATTATAACAAGACTGAAGCGAACACAAATTTGTGTAGCTTACACTTAATCACACATTTTTAGGGGGGCTAGGCAGAAGTTTAGGGGGGAATTTGATTACACTTTAGATAGCCCGTCGGCAGGCCAGTTATGCATTTTTGTTGTCTTTTGTTGGAAATTTCCGGCAAACGAAACAGTACATGCCCTCATCGCCTTTCTCCAGCCAGGTTTACTGTGTTTTCCATGACACTAGGAATTAGGACTGGGCGATATGGCCAAAAAAATCATATCTCGGTATTTTTTGGTTAAATGACGATATACGATATATATCTCGGTACTTTCTACGTTTTTCTATTTGGATAAAGAAAATCTGTATTTATTTAAAAAAAATGTTATTTCACATCCTGCTCAATGATATCCAAACAATATTGATATTGAAGGATATGGAAACAAATATAGGGAATGCAATGTAGGCTATGGAATATATTATGTGCAAAAAGGTTGTTAAAATCATATTACAATCTAACATTGTAACATTACAATTTAAAAGCAAAAATAATGCTTTTGTTTTTAAAATGACTAAAGGCTAAACTAAAA